CTTGACACACTATAATGATGATAAAATAGGATAAATATCCTAACATCTTGATTTCTTATATCAGTTCTTTAATTTCTTTCATGTGTGGCAAACTTTCTTTGATAATAGCCATATCAGCTATCATCTCTACATTTTGACATAATCCTTAAGAGAGCCTGGATTCAATGAGGCACTGCTGTACTTTTCTAAATTTGGATAATAAATTCAGTGAGTAACTTTGACACATAGAGCAACAAAGACAGTGAGGGAGGCATGAGTTTCAATTATAGCATTTTGCACAAATTATAGAAACATAGTAATCAGTAGCACACCATAATGCCTTTTTACATGCTATTGCTGCAACATTGTGATCTAGGTTACAAAATGTCTCTTTCTTGACTTGAACAATATTCATTAGGTTTTGGGGTAAAATTGTGATTTCTCACCCATTTTATTATGCATTTTTGTTTCTAAAACACAATAGAATTTGGAGCATTTATTCCTTGACCATTACACAAAAGGATGGCTCAGTTTTTGACATTTCTTCCTTCATGCTTTACCAGACTGTTTTTTTCCTGTCTACCATTCTTTCTTTAGAGAAACTTTCTAATAAGAGGAATCTGATTTCTAAACTAAAGAATCAACGCAAGAGGCAAAGCCTTTTCCAAGTCACTGTATACTCTAGACTCCCACTACAGCATTAGACCTCTCTCTGTAACTAAATCTCTACATAGGCCCTGGATATTCGGGCCTGCAGGTGTATAAAACTTATGAGGCTTCCTTATGGAGGTCAGGAACCTATCACTCTTCCCATGAACTTCAACATTCACATTCAGCTGATTTTTTTCTAATTCTTTTTGTTCTTTCTATTAATTCACACCATTATCTTTCATTTCTTTACCTCAATACAATAACCTTATTGTTCCTAGATTGATGGGTGTAGTACAAATTACTTGTGCTACTATATTTAAAACTGCAGTCATCCTGGTTCCTCCTACAAGCTGCAAACTGAGATTGATAACCATGGTACAAGAATGAAATACCTGTGAATCACGTTGGATGTTTGTTGTATCACTCATTATTGCTTTGGCTATACCGAAATCAATCAGTTTTAATGAACCTTTGACAAGGAGGAAGTTAGCTGGCTTCAAGTCAGAATGCACAATACGTTCTTCATGAATTGTGTTGACAGCCTGAAGAATTTGCTGAAGAATTCAACAAAACAGTTTCAGATGTATTCTGTATTCTATCCAATAAATAAAGAACATGAAGAGAGAATAACATAATACAGCCATCATGATCATTTAAATAACTAGCAAAGCGCAAGGAAAAAATATTTGATTCTTTTGAAGATCATTATCAACAAAAATAAGTTTTTGGCTTGACACAGCATAAAAGAAGTTGCTTCATATAGAATTTGAAACATGAAAACCAGACCAGACTAGACACCAGAGCACGTAGAAGTTCAAAAGAAATTGCTTCTTATACTTCTGGATACTCAAACATAACATCCTGCAACCACTGAACTGAAAAGTAATTATGCAAAATGCAGGTTCATTCAGAGAAATAATGAAATATCTTCAAGGTTAAATTGCAAACTTAAACCTGCCAATAAAACCGAAGCCAATTCGCATCTATAGTCTGGTTGTTCCCATCTAGTTCCTTCCACTTTTGAGACAACATATGAGCCAAATCAATTTCCCCATATTCAAGCACCATGTATATGTATCCATCATCCTTGACTCTACCATCTTTACTACTGGAGGAGCCATTCATGACTCCCTCAAACAAAGCCTTGTCAGTCACCTAATTTACAAAGAATACGTAAAAATGAATAACATTATAATATAGATAAAGGAATCAAACCCATCACAGATACAACACTGAGAAAATAATCAAAAGTAAAATGTTACATACAAATTGTTAAGAAATAGATTTTAAGTTTAACTCAATCTCACAAAATCAGCGGCTTATAAGGTGAGGTTTTCAGCCATTTATATACTGTAAATTGGTCTTATCTCTAGTCGACATGAGACTTCCAACACACCCAACTCAACTTCCAAAACCAGTTTGTAAGGTGAAGGTTGTACCCACTTATATGTTGTGGCTTTATCTCTAGTCAACGTTGGACTTTCAACACACTCCCTTCATACCGAAGCATACATCTCGAATGTGAGACTGAACATTAATGGATGGTTCGACAATGACCCGATAGCAGGTGAAACAATATTTCCAACAATCAACAAATTTCACTAGGATAGGCTCTTACTTAGGGCTTTGATACCATATTAAGTAGTGGACTTTATGTCTAACTCAACTTCACAAAACTGACTTATAAGGTAAGGTTTGTACTCATTTATATGTTGTAAATTGGTCTTATCTCTAATCAATGTAGGACTTCCACTACAAATCAACCCAAAATATGCATCATTATTGTTTCAGAATGCACACGACCTCTCAAAGATAATTGAATAATGTTTATTTTTTTTAAAACACACAGAAGTCAAACCCCTACAAAGGAGTTGATGAACAGAAACCAATAACATTTCACAAGAAAGAATATAACCCCAGAGAGAGATTGATACAGCAGTGGAAGCCCACTAGAAGACTTGTGTGCATGGTCAACTAAAAAAATTGTATGTAAGAGTGAGTGAAAGTAATAGATAACATACCCACCAAATGATCCTAACTGAAAAAATATTTTAACCAACATTGGGTCACCCATAGGAAGTATATATGAAGAACATTGTAAAACCCATGTCAACAACATGGAACTAAGATAACATTTACCATTTGACAATAACACATGACTTTGATACCTTATTTAGAAAGAGAGACATGGAGGGGGGGAGGTGGATAAGCCAGAGCATCCATTTTCATTATCCAAAATTATTGCCATGAATTTGGTAGTAGCCTTAGGGCAATGTAGATAAGAAAAAGAAGGAAAATGCATGCAGACAATACTTTCTGACCTGTCCTTGACTGTCTAATTAATTCAACATATACAGAGGAATAACTGAAAAAGAATAGAACCTCCAGCCCCACACAATTGGAGTGTAGAAGAGAAGAGGAGAGCCCAAACTAGAAGACAAAGGAGGGATGTGGGACATAAAATAAAACAGACAGAATTCCCTACATGATCGGGGAAAGAAAATATAAAACAGCAATACTTAAAAAGAACGGCCATGTATCTTATTCCTAACAGAAATAGGTTGAGAGTACCTCATAATCTATAAGCTGGATAATATTATTCTTTCCTTTCAGCCTATTTAGATACTCGATCTCCTGACAAAAGCTGTATGCTGTGGCATAATCACGACCCTTTAGTTTTATTCTTTTAAGTGCATAGATAGTACAGTCTGATGAAATCACTTTGTGCACCTCACTGCTTCCACCACTTCCTATCTTGCCAAGCCTTTGATAAAGCTTGCCATTGACTTTAAAAAACAACTCAGGGTCATAGGTCCTCTTTCGAGCGACTGAAGGTCCTTTACAACTTGCATTTTTTTCTTGCTTTTCTAACCTAGAAGATTCCAGCTTTGTATCTGAAGATGAAGTCAGACCCTGAGGCAGTATGTTGGTAACAGCTGCAGGCTTGTCCGTGTTACTTAACATGTCATTACAACAAGAAGTATATTTACTAGTTTCCTTTAGCAAACATCCTTGTTGCTCCTTAGATGGGTCACTGTGCTTAAATGTCATCTCTGCCTCATTTAGTGAATTATATTCTTGAACTGCACTTGCCACTTGATCAATTGACATTCTATTGGTGTCTTTCAGAGAATCATATGGTGATTTAACAGCCCTTTGTGTTATAGGATGAGGATTGACATTCAGGTTATCATAAGGTTCTGCAGCCACATGCGAGTCACTATCCATATAGGAATTGGCACAATGAGTTATAGAATTCGGCATTGGAGCTGAAGTTAAATGGACTGATGTAGTTGTAGGGCATGGCAATCCCACTACGGAAGATAGTGTAGCTGGTTGACTCAAAAAGTTTTTGAATTGCTGGAGATGATCCTCAGTAACTATTCTTCTCCTTGGAAGCAGAGAACTCTTGCCTCCCTCAGATAACAAACTAGTCTCAGACTCTGCCTGCTGCATATTGTGGTGTTTCACATGTTGATTGAATCCAATTGATGCCCTATCTGTCAAAGCAAGTGAACCCATATGAGATGATATGTACTCCATTTCAGTAGCTTTTGCAACATTGACCCCTGCGTGTTAAGCGAGGAAAAAGAATATATGTGGCAAGGTATAGTGACTGCTTTGGGACATATATCACAACATTAGCAGTTATTTCCAATGCAACATCCTAACAAAAAGGTTTAGACTAGACTTAAAATCCTGGTTGGTGATATCATGACTGCAAAAGAACTATTGGCAAATAGGTGCATGGGAATACTGTTACATGGATGGGACATGTGGATGATAACAATGAAATCAAGATGACCCACAAAAGTGAGAGAAAAAGAAAAAGAGTAACTAACTCTGATTTCAATGATTACGCTTAGGAAATAAAGTTAATATAAACGGAAAAAAGGGGAAATGGAGGGTGTGTGGAAGAGTGTGACTCGTTCTCCTTCTTCCCGGGTCCTTTCCGAGATTTCTCTGTTCTGTTCTTTTGTTGTTTCTACCATTTATGTTATTTCGTATCATTGTATCTGCTATCACTAACCTAGCCTTTTTCATTGTAAGAAACCCATATTTGATGCATAATACAATACAAGATCTCTTGGTTCATCAATTGAACTTGAAGGTTTTCTTGAGTGACTTACAGGTGATTATTCTTAATTTGAAGTTAAAGAAATAGAATTGTAATTAATATATATATATATATAT